GTTCCCAAATCTGTGCATCAGTCTGGAGGCTTCTCCTAACTCGTGTAGCTGTAGGGGCTGGCGAACCCAAGATCAGCAGGTAGACAGCAAGTCTCTGGCTCACAGGCTGAGGAGCCCAATGATTCCCAAGATTGGCAGGTAAGCTACTAGCTTGAGTCCCAAGTACTGGAAGTCTGATGAACAGGCTCCAACTGCGAATCCAGAGTGTGTAAAAGCCAGTGAACTTTTCCAGAAAATCCATCTATATTGGATGCCTACCACATCCCCAAGGAAACCCCCTTTCAACTGATTGACTGCTCATAACAGATCTCATCATGGAAGTGATTACATTATATCAGATCTCATTATGGAGGCAATTACATCATGACATAGTTGCCAAACATCATAACAGAGAACCTCTGAGAAACATGGTCCAGCTAAGTTGTCACACGACCTTAACGTTCACACTTATTGAGCAACTATTGTCTTCCAGGACCTGTGGTAGTCACTGGGGATACATACGTGAAAAGGTCACAACTCTGTATCATTCTTATGGAAGAGTGCAGGATTCATTTAAGTAAACAGGCAATGAATATACTAGATAGTAGTTGCTAAGATGAATGAGAATAGAAGCATGTGGTAGAATTTAGGAAGAAAGTTTAACAGAGCCTTGGAGATTTAGCCATGTACTTTAGATAACATCCTCTATACAAAAAAAAAAAATCAATGATTAATATTTACCTGATGATTAGGGGTGGGGAAGGAATCGCAGACACGGGGCCCGGAGAGAATACTGCATGTTCACAATAAACTGACACAGCAGTTCAGTAAGACTGGACTGAGAGTTTTTAAGTGACTGTGTAACAAGTAGAAACCCTGGTGGTGTAGTGGTTAAGAGCTATGGCTGCTGTTGTCAGTTCGAATCCACCAGGCGCTCCTTGGAAACTCTTTGGGGCAGTTCTACTCTGTCCTACAGGGTTGCTATGAGTCAGAATCGACTCAATGGCAATGGGTTTTTTTTACGTAACAAGCAATGGACCTTGAAGGTAACAGCATTTATAAGCCATGCCACTGCTCTTTCTTTGCTCATCTCTTAGTGATTACCCTTAGAGTTCCATCTTAAGTCCTTCCTATTCATATTACATATTGCCTAGGCTTTCTCTTCATTCTCTTGCTTTCAGTTAGTATCTTTACATTGTTGTCTCCCAAATTTATATATGCAGCACTGATATACACCTCTCCTTCATGAGCACACGACACACACACACACACACACAAACATGTTTATACAGAATTCAGAGAGAAATGTATTGGCGTGATCTAATAAGCTGGATGATTTGTGCTTTAGAATGATCACTCGCTGCCTGAAGAATGGAGGGTGACTTGTGGTAAACAGAAAGATCCAAATTTGAGGCTTTGCTGAGATGAGAACTGATGGTGTCCTCAACTGAACTGTAGAATGTACAAGACGGTGATTGATAGGTGGTGTAAATTAGAGTAGTTCAGGAATAACATATAGGTTTTTGGCTTGGGCAAATGGACGTAAGAAAGTGTCATTCTTTGGAATATGGAATACAGAAGGAATAGTTGATTGGTTGGGTGGAGGAAAGGAGATAAGTTTAGTTTTGGATTTGTTCAGGTGCCTGTAGGACATTCAAGTAGGTGCGTGTGAGTGTGTATATATATGTATGTGTGTATACTCAGGAAGGAGAGGTGTGTATGAGGGCTACAGATATGCATTTGGGAAACAACAATGTAAAGATACTAACTGAAATCATGAGAGCGAAGAGAATACCTAGGAAATATGTAATCTGAGCAGAAAGGACTTAACATGGATAAGGAAAAGGATGTCCTTCTCCAGGGACTCGTCCCTCCTGATAACATGTCTGAAGTACCTGAGACGAAGTCTCACCATTCTTGCTTCTAAGGAGCATGTCTGTAATTCTTCCATGTATAAGGATAATAACTATTTAAAAGAAAGGGAAGTAGATAAGATATTGATTAATATTCATTTACAGAAAAGGTCAGGAGAATAATATTTCTGAAATTAGAATAAAATACAAAGCAATGACATGGTTTGCTAGGCGATGTGAGGTGTTCTGTGGTAAGAAGCCCTGATGACTATGTGGTAGGGTAAAAAATATGGATTTTTTTTCCCCCAGAATCATAAATGCCCGTATCTTAAATCTTTATGTAAGAATTGGGTCTTTTTTCAAGAATATGGGGAAAACTTAATTTCTCAACATTTTTTTTTAACTGCTAAGATGCATTCTTTGTCCCTTATCCATAGTTCTTTCTACTCTATATATTCCAGTTACTTCTTAGTGTCCTGAGTTATCTTTATGTCTTGCTGTTACATTGCAGAAAATAAAATAAAGTAGTTGAAAAAGAACTCTAATATGCTTTATCAAATCAAATATGAAGGAATATTTTGAATATTCAACTTCATAGACTTTTCGATAATTATTCAGGCTTATAGAATTGTATGTTTAATATGTCAATGGTAATTTGAACTTCTGTATACTGCACATTTTGAATAGGCACCCTGAAATCATGTCAAAACTACACCAAACCCACTGCTGTTGAGTCGAATCCAACTCATAGCGACCCTATAGGACAGAGTAGAACTGCTTCATAGGGTTTCTGTCTTAGGCTAGGTTTGCTAGAGAAGCAAAACCAGTGAAGCTATATATATATATATATATTTGTTGTTGTTCTTAGGTGCCATCAAATCAGTTCCAACTCATAGAGACCCTTTGTACAATAAAATGAAACAGTGCCGGGTACTGTGCCATCCTCACAATCATTATGTTTGAGCGTATCATTGCAGCCACTGTGTCAATCCATCTTGATGAGGGTCTTCCTCTTTTTTGCTGACCCTCTACTTTACCAAGCACGATGTCCTTCTCCAGGGACTGATCCTCCTGATAACATGTCCAAAGTATATGAGATGTAGTCTCACCATCCTTGCTTCTAAGGGGCATTTTGGCTGTACTCCTTTCAAGAGAGATTTGTTCATTCTTGTGGCAGTCCATGGTAAAGTCAATATTCTTCCCCAGCACCATAATTCAAAGCCATCAATTCTTCGATCTTCCTTATTCATTGTCTAGCTTCACATGCATATAAGGCTATTGAAAACACCATGGCTTGGGTTAGGTGCACCTTGGTCCTCAAAGTAACATCTTGACTTTTTAACACTTTAAAGAGATCTTTTGCAGGAGATTTGCCCAATGCAATATGTTGTTTGATTCTTGACTGCTACTTCAAGGGGCGTTGATTGTTTGTCCAAGTAAAATGAAATCCTTGTAAATTTCAATACTTTCTCCATTTATCATTATGTTGCTTATTGGTCCAGTTGTAAGGATTTTTGTTTTCTTTATGTTGAGGTGTAATCCATACTGAAGGCTGTGATCTTTGATCTTTGTCAGTAAGTGCTTCAAGTCCTCTTCATTTTCAGCAAGCAACGTTGTGTCATCTGCGTATCGCAGGTTGTTAATGAGTCTTCCTCCAATCTGGATTCCGCATTCTTCTTCATATAGTACAGTTTCTTGGATTATTTGCTCAGTGTACAGCTGGAATAAATATGGTGAAAAGATACAACTCTGATGCACACCTTTCCTGACTTTAAAACACATAGTATCCCCTTGTTCTGTTCTGCATATGTACATATACATACATATATCCAAGTTTGGCAGGTCAGACGGCAGGCTGCTGGTTCATGGGCTGCAGAGGCTAATGAATCTAAGATCGGCAGGTAAGATGGCAGGCTGCTGGCTCACATCCCAAGAACTGGAGTTCAGATGATGAAGAGCCAAATGCAGGATCCTGAGCAGAGCAAAAGCCAGTGAGCTTTGCCAGAAACTCCATATATATTGGGTGCAGGACATTCCCCCAAGGAAACTCCCTTTCAACTGATTGGCTGCTCGTAGCAGATCTCATCATGAAGGAGATTACATTATATCAGATCTCATCATGGAAGTGATTACATCATCATGTAACTGTCAATCTACACCATAACTGCCAAACTGCTGAGAATCATAGCCCAGCCAAACTGATACACAACCTTAACCATCACAGTTTCTAAGGCTGTAAATCTTTAAGGAAGCATACTGTTACATCTTTCTCCCATGAAGTGGTTGGTGGGTTCAAACTGCCGACATTTCGTTTAGCAGCCGAGTGCTTGCCACTGTACCATCAGGGCTCCTTAAAATCTTGTGCTTCCCCTGTAAAACCAATTAACATGAATTGACAAGGAGAATCAGTGCAGCGTAGAAGAAAGGCCATTGCCCTCAGCAACAAGACATTTGAATTCTATTTTTTGATGCCAATTTACTGTATTTCCTCATGCATATTCCATAACTCCTTGGGCCAAAGTTTTGTGATCTGTAAAATGACCATCTCCAATGTCCCTCCAACTTTTAAAATTCTGTGGTTCTTCATTTATCTAAACAAGCAATGTATAGTTTCTGTTAGGTATTCAAGGATAAACATTTCATCCCCATAGAGGAAGTCATATAATCAATTGTGAAATATTTGAATAAGTTTTAGTAATCACAATAATGTTCTAAATTACAAAAATGTGATTATTGAAATTATAACAGAACTTTTTATAATTTTAATTTATTTTTTCTATTTGCTGACCTGCATTTAAAAAATTAATAGACTATTTTTTAGAACAGTATTAAGTTTACAGAAAAATTGCACATAAAGTACAGAGAATTTTTTTTCTTTCAGGAGATAGCAGATCATAAAGACTTAAACTGTGTAAACATGGTATAAGCAGGGCAATAAATATCCATGTTTAGCTAGATATAGAAATGGTGCAATTGCTCAAGTTAAATATTTCCTAAAGACACTCCTCTGAATGAGCCAATTTACTGTCTTGGGAGTCATTTCAGGTCGTTATCAATAGTATCCAGTTATAAGAGCAAATCTGGAAAACAAAGAGTTGGAAAAGAAAAGGAATATTTCCAATTACAGACTCACCAAAACTGCCTGATATGTAATGAACATATTGGGTAATGCTCTTCTGGCTGACCAGAATGTTAGCACTCCCAATGAATGAAGTTTGCTACTTCCTTTGGATTTCCTGTGCTTTCATTTCCACGGTGCAGCAAGGAACAGAAGACTTCCAATGCAATAATGGAGTGTCCTTGCCTCCTGACAATGTGTGTGACTTCACAGACCAGTGTGGGGACAACAGCGATGAACAGCAATGTAAGTGTCATTCCTCTGCTTGCTCCAATTTCATTTTCCTGCATGTCTGTCTTAAAACCTTGGGCCTATGAGCAGCCCAGTGAGATTCAGCCAGACATCTGGTCTGGAGTAAACTGGACGTTCTCAAAGTGTGAATTATTAAAGTGCCTTAGGCGTTAATCAGAAACTAAAATATACTTTTTAATAAAGATAGGTCCATATATAAAATTGCTTTAATTAAACAACATCAAATAGCTAAGATTTAAACAAGATGGACTGTAACAAAATTCTTGTTACTCTGTGTTTTACATAGATGTTTACTGGTTATAGACATGTGATAAGCAGAAATGTAGCTGTTAATGTTATATTAGTGAAGCAAAATTCAGAAGAAGTTATTTTACTGCAGCTTTAAAATGTTTTTATGTTATTGTGATGGAAATTATGAGCTGAAGTTTGAGTTAAGTATGGATATGTTTTATGTGAATTTTTTATTTGAGGAGTAGATTTTATTTTCATTTTTAAGACACTGACACCAAATGAGTTGGTACTGACTGCACGTGTAGCACAACTCTGGCTTTTATCATACGATTCCAGGGCAGTGGAAAGAGCACAAGCTTTAGAGATTGTAGGACCTAGATCTGGATCTAGATGAACCCTTTAACTACTTGTGTGATCTTGAAACCTCCATTTTATTATGAAAGGTCATAAAGTGAGACAAACCAACTCTCACAGGTGGGAAAATACTCCATCGCTTACTGGAATAATATTAATAAAAAGAGAAACAGTTCACCAAGGGAAGACATGGGTAAAGACATGTAAGTTCCTCTAGTTTTTCTTGCAGTAGGACCCCCTAAGGAATACTGCATTTTATTAGTGGAGGCCAGTGCCATTCTTACACACTATTGCCTTTTATAAACAAACAAAATTTTCATAAAATTAACATAGACTCATTGTTGGGACATAGTGACTATTGATTCAATTAATTGTATTCTATTAATTACATAGGGCATTTTATTCAAACATATTTTCAATTTTTTATTCAGATGAAATATTGATGTTTCTAGAATTCTGCTAAAATAAGGTTCTACGCACTTGATTTTGTTATTGTTTGCTTCCTGTTTACATATTCAGTTGGTATTACATTAAAACCAAAAAAGGAATTACTGAAAAGTATCTTCCCTATAGAATGGAACAGGCTAATAGTTTTCCTCCCGTAGTTTGGGATAGCCATCATGTGGTTAGCACTTAACCAAAAACACCAAACCCGTTGCCGTTGGAGTCTATTCCGACTCATAGCGAGCGACCTTATCGAACAGAGTAGACCTACCCTCATAAGGTTTCTAAGGAGCGGCTGGTGGATTCGAACTGCCGACTTTTTGGTTAGCAGCTGGATGCTTAAGTTGTTAGCATTCAGTAACTGTTAAATACAAAGCTCAACCAGGCACAAGGATTCATTTGTATTTGTCCAGTTTCCCCAGAGTGGCTAAATGTGGGTGAGTTGCCCCTTGCTCTGGCCTCTCTGAAAAAACACTTGCTGTTCTGGGTAAGCAGCGAAGATGAACCACTCGGCTGGTTTGACAAGAAGTACAAAGTCCTTTCTATTATTAATCTCTATGAAGCTTCCTTTAGTACTCCTGCTGTGATAACATTCATGGTCCTGCTTCAGGGAAAAGGTTAATGGGAAAGAAGAAGAAATCTGCCGAGTGGTAAAGGTCTCGACTGCATGAAAAATTCTAATAACTCATAGCCTTGCAGAAAAGCGAAGGAACAGATCTGTCAAATAAACAGATTTCATTTTAAATATTACATTGGGAGGTCACGTTTTGGCTTTTTTGCTTTTCATTTTCATTTCGGAGGAGTCTCCACTTGGTGTTGTATTTAAAATGTGTGCAGTAACCTGCAGATAAAATTGAGAATCACTTTAAGATATGAGTGTCCTTTGTACACCACACTGGTGGGAAATTATTATAAAGAAATAATGACTGCCTAGCTATTTCTGTGATAAAAAATTGCCATGCTCAGTTACAAACTAGATTTTTATAACCAACTTTATAGTGATGTTAAAATAGTCACATTTAAAAAAAAAATCTCAATCTGTTCCACCCCACTTTTAAAATCCTAATAGTGTGACCTTTAAAGAAATAGATTAATATGTTGGCTTTTCTTAATGAGATTGGCGTAGTTGGCATAGTTGAGGTTGAATTTCTGATACAACTGATTCTAATAGGTTTTTGAGAATGTTCTTAATTTACTTAATGGACTTCCTTTTAAGAATACTTGAACCTGTTCTTTTAACTGTTTTTTATTATTTTGTTTTGTTTTTAAAAGAAATTCGGTTTAGAAAAACTGAATCCTGAAATGGAATAAATTCTATTTACACTGTATTAACTAAAACAAACAAACAAACAGAACAACTAAACTCTTTGCTGTCCAGTTGATTCTAACTCATGGCAACTCTATAGGACAGAATAGAACTGCCCCCGTAGGTTTCCAAGGAGCAGCTAGTGGATTTGAACTGCTAACGTTTGGTTAGCAGCCAAACTCTTAATCACTATGCCACCAGGGCCCCAACCACTTAATGTTTAGTGGGCAAGAAAAATAATTTGTAGGTGTAACAACTGGGTCTAGTGTTGACAAAATTCCCTGTTTATTTATGTTTATTGACATCCTTAGCCAGACTTGGCCCAGGTCATATACGTTGTACTGGTTTGGGTATTTTTTTTAAAGCATGTTCCAAGTGTTGCAGGGTCTGCTTCTATGCTGACCCACATTGACTGGTCTTCCTCCTTCTTTTTTATTTTTATTTGTTCATTTCGTTTAATGGCAGTGCCACTATACTAAGTACAGAGATAGTCTAGCTTCTCTTCTAGCAATTACTCAAAATTATTTGATGTACAAAGGCTTCACTCTGCTTTATTTTTATTTTAAAATAAATATGGTAGTATTATTTTTGTTACCACTATGCAGATCCAAATCAATCAGAAGATTATAACATATACAATTAATACAGCATTGAGATATATTCCGTGCAGCAGATCTCTACCATTGGACTATCCTCAGTTATTTAAAATCCCAGAAAACATTCTTAGATGGTTACTTTTACATAACTAAATTTATTTATTAGGATTAGTTGCTACATACATTTAACTTTTAGCACCAAATTTACTGTGATTCAAAAGAGAAAAATAAATTATGTTAATCTGACATCTTTCTTCCTTGCCTTGGTGTCATGCTTAAGAACTTTTCCATTTGTTCCACTATTTTTCAAAGGCGATAGGAACCTATTTTTATATTTATGATTTGATGCAATATATCATAACATTTTGTGGTTTTACAAAATTTCTCTTGCAAAGTTTCTTGAATTTGGGAACAAGAAAGTCTTTTTCAAACTGTATTTACTTTATATTAGTCTAAATTTGTATATGAAATGTGTGGAAATTACCTTAGAGATGCATTTTTAAAATCAGAGAGGTGCTAGTGTTTAACTAGATGATATTAAGTAAAAACTTTATTTCTTCAATAGATGACATATAAGCCAAGTAACTGATTCATTGAAATACTTGAAGCAAAAACATTGAGTGTGCAATAGTTACCTTAGTACTACATTATATGCAAAATTTTAATCACAATAGCAACAGAATTATATATCTAAAAATATCTGAGAATAATATCTAAGAATAAATCAAATAATAAATATGTAGCCCCTACCTGAACAAAATTATAAAAAAATCACAGCTATATAGAAAAAACAGAGTCATGATAAGACTATACTTTCTAGTGGGATGCTTCAATAGTGTGACTATGTACATTTTTGTCAAATCAATTTAAATACTAATTAAATTCTAATACAAAAGCTAACCAAGATAAGTTTTGCAATTTGATAACATAATTTGCAAGTTCATCTAGAAAAATGAGTGAGAATAGCTAGGAAAGGAGAGAATAAAATTATGAATAACAGGGAAGACCTTTAGTAGGTTTATAAAATTATCATGTGAAAGTTTATAATCAGAAAATAAAATTATTAGAAATATCAAGCATGCATTTAATAAATGATGGTTACATTCCATATCAGTAAGCAAAAGCGTAGATAGCTAATAAAAAAATTAGCTAATATTTATAAAATACTTACTATATGCTAGGAATTATTAAGCTATTTCCACCCAGTGTCTCGTTTTATCTTCACTAAACAGCCAAATTATAAGACCTACTATTGTTCCCATTTTACAGGTTAGGAACATGAGATTCAGCTTGGGTAAAACAAAATGTCAAAGGACACAGAGCTATCCAATGGAATTCACAACCAACTATATCTGATTCTAGAATCCTTGCTACTAATACAACACAATATTGACTGCATTAAATACAACAAATAAAGATGTGGGTATGTGCATGATAATCTGGCAATTTCATGAAATCAATTTCTGATCTACTCACACACCAAAAAATTATAAAAGATGAAATATTATATATTAAACATTAGACCGTAGTCCTTACTTCTCTTGACTATAAATTTTGAAAAGTCAGAGTGAGTTTCTCTTTTGCTTTGAAGTATAATAAATTCTCACAATATACTTGTTGAATATTGATGCTGAATAAATATTGGGATAGGTAAGGCTTTTCTATGTGTTAAAGGAAAAATGAAAATATCAGTAAATTAGAATATATAAAAGTTTCACTCTATCAAAAGCATCATAAATAAAATGAAAGAAGAAAGATGTTTGCAATGTATCTGACAAATAATTCCCTTTCCAGTAAATAAATCAAAGAAAAAATATATTCTTTTATAGAAAAATCTGTTGCCGTCGAGTTGGTACCATAGCTCTTATATGTATACTAATACCAGAAAAGGCAACTCACACACACCCACCCACTCACCCACCCACCCACACACACACACAGAAATGATCACATGATGAAGCGATCAACTTTACTATCAATCATAAATCACACCTGAAAACAAAAAGCTGCCAATATTTTAAAAATAAAGTACACATTAATGAAAAAAAAATCCATTGTTGTCC